GATGTGCAGAGCCCTTTGGTGCCGGACCTTTTCCCGGACTTCGCCGTGACGAAGGAGTCGGAGGTCAGGGATCTAGCCGCCTCCATCCTGGCCATGCTTGACCGAGAGGAGCACCGGATCGTGGATCTCCGGCTGATGAAGCTAGGGGCAAGGAGCAAATTGCTCTACGTGCTGGCTTACCTGAACAAGCAAGAGACCCACACCACAGCCCAAGTGCTGCCAAGGCAGCGGGATGGCCGGATGAGGCTACGAGTCATCCGGGACTTCCCCGTGGAGGAGGACGCAGATCCGCAAGTCTTTCGCGTCAGCAGCACCACAAACGGGACGGCCCTGGCCGCTGCCATGTCCTACCGACTGCGCTCTGTCACGCGCATGCAAGGCTCGAGCCGCGCGAACACGGTCCGTTTGGAGCTGTTTGGATCCAAGGCGTCGGAGGTGGCAGTGTCGGCCGTGGAAAGGACGCAGTGCGACACATCGCGCGAAATCTGCCTGGTGACTCGGTTTGCGGAGCGGTCAAACAGACCTGTTCTGGTGGCATCTGTTTCTGCCACGTAATCAAGGGCTTCTGAGTCTCCTATACCCCAACGTTTGAAACGAGCTGCCGTTGTCTGCCCGTGCCCCTCAAGCTACATGAATATGACGCCGGCGATAAAAAGGCATGCGGCGTTCTCCGACGGCCTGTTGAATCCACCGATAGTCCAACACTAGTTGTACGCAGGGAGACTTGGTCTTGTGGCATGCTCACAGATAGATCCCAGGCCTGGCAGAAGGACAGCTCTGAGAGTTGAGCAGGGCAGGATCATTTCTTGATTTTGTATATTGTCGTAAATGCCCATTCTTCGTGTTCTCACAGAAGTGTGTGGCGCTGTTTCTCAAACGCATCAGTGTTCCTTGGTTTCCGGCCAGGTTTGGAAACACCTCCAGAGCGTACCGGAGAACAAGGTAGCTCTGTCCTCTGTGACTACTCCGCAGGCAAGGAAGAAACCCTGGCTTGCGCACCTACTGGCGTTCTTTCGGAACCGGGGAGAAATCCAGTAAATCACGAGTCCATGATGGGGTGACGCTGAGTTTTCCATTTTTCCACGTCCATTTGTGTGAAGGGCTGTGAGCTCCTTGCACCCGGGGCACGTAGTCACAAATGGAGCATTGCCCCATTGCACGCGTGCCCACATGGTGGGTTGTCACAACTAACCATGTGCCACGGTCAATGGTCATGGGCCCTGGGGTTTTCGGCAATGACAAAAGAGTCTTGGCGCATACAACTACTTCTATGTCCAGCAAAGTTCCACCGTCAGGTAACCGCGCCAACCAGACACCACAACCTTCTTCGGATCTCGCCCGCGGGCCCTTCGAAATTCAGCTTGGCGTTCGGGCGAGAAGTTCATGCGCTTGACCGTTTTCACAAAAGCGCACGACGTTCTGGCGCCTAGGTTTTTGAATGATCGTCATGGTCGATGTAAGCAGGGCCAAGGAAGTTGTTCAAGCAATCCTGGTGTATTTGGACGAAGAGGAGGCCTAACTTTAGTACGTGCATGTGTGTATTGAAAACGGTCTCTCCCAGGTCTCCTCCAAACACACTCGACATTTTGGGTAGACAGAATCTGAATCATATTCAGCGTATCACCAAATTCGGGGGCGCACGCGAGCCGGTGTGTTTGCACGTGAGCGTGTGTGCTTACTGTTTCGCTCGCGTGTGTGCAGTTCTGAGCGGCTGCACATGAGCAGGTGTGCTTACCATTTCGCTGGCATGTTTGCAGCTCTGCGCGGGCGCGCGCGAGCGGGTGTGCGTAACATTGGTAGGCGGGTGTGCAATGCTCACGTGCGCCCCACCCCGGGACGTGTGTGAAATGCTATGCGATCTTTTTGCGATGTTTGTCTGAATGTCGCGCAGCAATCATGGAAGCTGATCGAAGGGTTCTGGAAGACCATGCTGTCTCGGGGAAGGGGTTTCCGCGAGGCGGTGAAGGATGCATGGGCTGAGCTGCAGACGGGCTCCGAGGGGGTGGCCAAGACCGCGGTCTTGCGTCTGGGCAAGAGATTTGGATGCCAAGAAACACGCCCCCATGCGGGGGTGTGCTTGTTTTGAGGTTCTTTCTCGGGGTGTTTTCAAAGGGAGGCTCAAAACAAGCGTGGAGGTGCAAAGGCTCCCTTGCACACGAAAAGTGCTCTGCCAAAAACCATGCACACAAAAAAAAATGTTGGGTTGGGTTTTAGCATGAAACCAACGTGAAATCAAAAGAAATCACCCATTTTGGACGTTCCCCAGTTTCAGACCAAGCCATGCGTCTCCGTTGGACAGTTGGACCGACCATTTGCAGGAGACCCTAGTCTTTTTCAGTCGGCCGCTGGGTGCGTTGGAAGCCCTTGCGCGGGATTCGGCTGCTGGGCAAGTGCCCTGATACACCAACAAAGAAGCACCCTGATTACCCCGTGGTAGATTTGTGTACTTCTCAAACTGGGTGAGCCCCAACATGGATGTTTTCTGTTTGCTTTCCGTCAAGCCGTTTCGAAAAAGGTGCCCATGCACTCAAGCACATGCTTTTGGTAGAGCATACTCTTTTTGGGCAGACTTTTGTTGGAGGGACACCCACATGACAGCCATTTTGGGAGTCCAATTTCGACACGTACGAGTGGGCCTTTTAATTGAGGGTACCGCCCGGGGTGCCCCGTTTTCGGTGGCTCGAAAGGAAAACCAAAAGGAAAGCTTCCCATTTTGTGGGGTCCCCAAAGCAAATCGACAAGCCAGCCATTTCCATTTGGAGCTTTCATGAAGGAAGTCGGTGCTGGGCGAGCGGGCGGATCTCTTCGAGTTCACCGGGGATTCCATCGAGTTGACGGAGGCAACCGCTGATTCAGTCCTGACCCTGGCCTAAAAAACCAAAGGAAACGCCCAGTGTGCCATATGGATGCATAGGTAAACTACAATTCTCCTGACAGCCCCTGATCCCCTTCTGTTGTTGGAAAGAGCAGACGGATTCCCTGGGTTTATTTCCAATCGTTTCCCAACGGAATCCATGTTTCCAAAAGGGACACGGAGGCCGCTTTCTGCGCGCAGGCTGCCCAGATGATGAACCCCACCGACGGCTTGCCAGCCATGCGCTTGGTGTTTCTGTTTTGAGGGCCGGACGGGTCTGTGAAGCATCAGGTTTCTCACAGCAGCATTTGGAGTGGGCAGGCCTAGTTTGATATATTCGCAAACCAGCGGAAGTTATTCAAGCACCAGCCTGATATACATTCAAGAGGTTGGTCAGATACATGAGTGGCAATTGGCATGCTCAAGGTGAGGGTTAGGCTTGATCTCGATATTGATCTGCCCTCGGACATTCATTTACTTATCTAGCTTGCGCATGGGTCGCTTCTTCAATTCGCGGGATCACGCGCCCTCTTCGGTAAAGGCGGCACAAGACGGCACCAGGGTCCCAAAAGGGCTACTGTTGACAACCCCCCCCCCACCTGTGGAAAAGGGGTGGAAAAGGCGTGGGGCGGGGGCAGTGAGCCGAACCAGGACAACATCCTGACCGCCGATGGCGGGCTCATGGAGGCAGGTCCATGTCACGTGCGTCACTATCAAAATCCATTATTGCCGAAAAGCCATGCCAAGAATCTAAAGGCTGGAGACCCGCGCCTATTTCTAGTCGGGACTGGCCCCCTAACCTTTGCTTTGACAGTGGCTTAAGTGCCACAGAGAGCCTCCACAGTCGAGTTGCGAGCAGCGCTACTAGTAAAGGGGACACTCACTAAACCCTTGGGAAATGGTGGGGGGGTTTATCACCATCTAATAAATTGATAGCCAGACCTGTGGCAGGCATGGGAAACAACCAAGCCGGAGGAGGAGACGACTGCAATGCGCCTGGATTCCCTCGGATGTGTGCATCCTTCAGAAATGCGGTCCCCGGACTTCTTTCAAGAAGCTCCGTCCTTGGCATGACTTTTGATTGTAATCAAGGAGGCGCCTGAGTGTGGAGAGGCCTACTGGTATATACAAGTGGGCAACACGGACTTTTACAAGTTTTCTAAAAGGTCGAAGGCAATGCAGATCTAGGCTGGGGTGGCAGAGTGGTTCCAGATTCTTTCACTGGTGCCCTTGCCCTTGCATCAACTGAAACTCGGAGTCTCGAGCTCGGAGAGAAAAGGCCGTGAGAGAGGCTAGCGTGGTGTAAACTGCCTGGGGGCACTTCCCCCGTTTTGGCTGCTCATCCCATTACCCCCGTTGAGAGACACTGGATGGCAAAAAACAGACCCCGAAATGGGGGCTTTCCCTTTGGTCTCCATTTGAAACCACCAAAAAAAAGGAGGGTAGCCTCAAAACAAGACTCACCCGATTCTGCGGATGCCAACCAACAAGGGCTTCTCCAACGAAGCCGCCTGCTGGCTCGGCGTTTTACAGGAGGACAATAGCGTCGTGGTGGATGCTGCGCCGGGCGAGGCCCCCAGGGCTGTCGGCCAGGCCAGGCGCGAAACGATGAGCGGTCTGGAATGTCACAAAGTCAGAAATCTGGGGTTGGTTTGGTGTCCTTTTCTTCCTTCCACTTGGAAGATGGATGCTCAACTCGTGGGGAGTTTGTGTTGGTGGTTGCGGCGGGTTTGTGTTGGGACGTATTCAATATATTGCTTTGCGGCAGGTGGGCTCTGCCAGAGGCAGCAAGGGAAGGGCGAGAACCAGCAGGGGCCCTTGGCCTGCAGTCTTTGGCGGAAGAATTCAGGCAGGTAAGCACTGGGGATATCATCCAACACGTGCACGTTGTGCTCATTGGCGCCCTGCGCTGATTTCGCTGCTCCGAGGCACCTACATGCCGCCCGGCAAAGGCAAGGGCAAAGGCCTGGGGCCAGGGCACCTGTCACCTTCCTTCGCCTGGCGAAACAATGGTTGAGACTTCAGAGCTGGCCAAGATACTTCCTTGTAGTCCCTTGCTGCAGGCAAGCACGGCTTCTTCTCAGACCTGTTTTGGACGCCGCTGATTGCGCAAGCTCTGGCGGTGGAGCGCAAGAAGGACTCTGACATGGCGCGGCCCCACAGATGGTACAAGCTGCTTCAGTTTTCGTTCTTGTTGCCAGTGACAAGTTCATACACCGCCCATGGGCCACGCGCCACCCCTTAGCTTGTGACCCCGCGCCCACTGTTTGAGGTCCGGGCGCTTTTCACCGCCATCGAGATGCACAGCGGCAGGTGCGTGACGCTGTCGCAGCCCCTCGCTTACAGGCTCCCAGAAGCGGAGGTGGTGTGATTGTGCAGTTCTTGGCTGTGGTTTGGCTCATTTCACACCAGCCCTTGCGTTACAAGATGGCTAACAAAGGCTTCCAACATGTGCAGGTTCACAGGCGTAAGTTGGACTTGTGCCTCAAAGTTGAGACGATGTCGCCGTTTTCTAGCGTATTTTTGATTGCTAAGGCTGGGATCCGACTACAAGGTTTCTCAGCTGAAGAAGGACCAGAGGGAGTCTCTGTGTATTTCCGTGTTTTCATGCGGGGCAATGCCCTGTTCACAGCAAGATCTCAACAAGTCTGGCATGTTTTAGCCCAACAAATCATTTGCTCTTTGCATGGGGGAACATGGGGTAGGTTTCCCTTTGCTTTCCCTTCAAACAATCAGCTATGCTTTGTCCTAGCCCGCCAGGACAACATGTGGAAGAGTGTCAGATTACTTGACATCCTCGAGGCGCCGGAAACGGGGTTCCCGGATGAGGCTCACTAGGAAGTTTTACCGTTCTACCCGTCAAAGGTGAGGTGACCAAAGGCAACCCGGGTTGGCCAAGTTTTGCAGAACAAGCAAGGCTGCAAGAAATAAGAGGTTCTCCCAACCGGCAAGCTTCCCTTTGCTACCCGTCGTGTGCACGAACCTCAGTCAAAATAGCCCCCGCGGAGGGACTCATCCCCAAACAATCAGTGTCTGGCTCACATGGCTTCCCATGCTCCTGTTTCAGTTGTGCTTCGCGGCCATAAGGCTTCCCAGTTGCCAGACTCGAAGCTCTGATCGCATGAACCTTTTTGACGGGTGCCAACCTCGGCCTTGGGCCTCGAAGGTCCCGGGCATTTGTTTCATGTTGGGCCAACGCCGTTGCCGAAGTTTTGTTTCAATGCTATCTGCCCCGAGGCATACGATGACATCTTTGAGCTGGTGCCGGATGGTGCCAGCGGAGGATGGCAGGTGCGCAGATAGCTGTCGTGCTTCCCTCTGCTCGCATCATCGCACCATCGCTTTGTGCTGCGTCATGCGCGCGGTAGCCTGCGGGCGCGACGGGAACTTGCTCGTTTGCAGTTGAAGGACACGGGCCTTGCTTGACAGATCTCAGAGATTGGGAGAGCAACCAAGCTGACCAGTAGGTGATCAACTTGTGGTTGCTTAGAAGCGGAACTTGCTTCCACACGCACACATATACACACACACACATAAGCCACTAGCCAAGCCTCGCAGGACAAACTGACTACGCCCGTTCCAGTGACTAGGTGCCCCAGCGCGCCCAGTTCTATGGTACAGCACCACAACCACGTCGCGGCCCAATTGTGTCCAGGACCAGGCACCACGACTGAAGTTCCCAAGAGCCGTCAGCGTAGTGTTTCCACGACACCCGCGCGCACCATGTTCACGCCCCGGTGCTACTGTATGCGCAACAGCGGGAATCCCAGCATGGCCAAACCAAAACGTGTATGCTCTTGTTTACGCGCTTTGTTTCGGCCAGCTTTCCCTTGAGACGAGCTCCCTCAGCAGTCTTCAGAGTGCAACAGTTTGACGCAGTGGTGAACTTTCAAGCATGTCTCAAAGAGCGGCGTCTCATAATGTGCCGCAAGGGTTGCCGACATTACGCTAATGCCGGCTGCCAAAAAAGGTCTTTCATTCTACGCCTTTTGGCCGTGAAACGAGAGGGGCGCCTGATCCCATCAGGTGAAGTTGCAACCCGGCGCGGAGGCGGCGCTGCCTGACGCCGAGGAGACATGGGTGAGGGGGCAGACGTCCAAGCTGCTCAGAGTTTGTATGGCTGGCCTTTCCGCAATTCTCATATTCTCCCTACAGGTGATAGAACCTACTGTGATAGAACGTTTGTGGGGGCTGCTCACGCCCAAAGGGCACTGGAGCCGCTGGAGTGAGAGTTTTGGGTTCAAGGGCAATCAACGCAGTAGATCCGCCCATTCCAGTCTACGGTATGCGTATTCGTGTTGAAATCAAACTTGGCGCTGCCACCTGGCTTCACGGCGAGAGGTTGACGGGAGGCGCCTTCCTTTCCCACTTCAAGCAGTTCTTTAGAAATTGGCACACGAAAACTGGCTTGATAGTCATTGAAATATGTTCAGAACCTCCGCTTCCAATCTAGGTCGTAAGGAACTCTCGCAGGCAAGCTTAGCACAAGGGTTGCGGGGTCGCTAACGTGACAAACCCGCACCAGGGAGCCCAACCGAACTGTCAGGTTTCCCACCCAGCCGATGCTGTGGAGGCCCTGCAACAGAATCAAAGTGTGGCAACCGAGCTGCAACCAAACCCTGGTATCAAAGCGAGCCTGTTGTGGTGACTGTCCTCTGTGCATCTTCTCTTGAGCGAACTTTGACTGTGGCTCAGTTGAAGCACTGCAGAGCTGTCGTGAGAAAGAAGGTGCAGCTCTGAAGCGGCGACAAGGTTCCTGCAACAGTGTCCCACCTGATTGAACCTCTTGCAAGTCAGCTTCCCGATTTCGCCGGGCAGGAGTATATGGAGCGCGAGATGAGGGAGCAGGACCGGAGTGTATGGTAGGGTACGCTTTGTGGCATTATTTTCAGGACACCACCCAATTTCAGAGGGCTTTATCTCCTTTGTTCAGCATAGGGATGAAGGCGTTCAAGGCTGCGCCCGGTGGGATGCAAGGATGAAGCTTGGGGTATGTACCACCTTTCCAGGACCCTATGGCCATATATGAAGAACATGGGGGCGGGGGAAACTGGGGCAGGTGCCTATGGATGGCCCCTACCGCCGTATCAACCATTTATGACATGACTTGGCTTCATGTCCTTTTGGGGTAGGAGCTTTCACTGTTGTGGCAGGGATTTGGAACGTTCACCAAGCTACGGGCAGTTCATTTCCATTCTGGGAGGCACCGAGCCATCGGCTCGAGCGAGCCACGACTCGAAGCGAACGACGATTCGAGCCGCAGGATGCTTTGCCTCCCAGGATCGAGAATCCGCGCACGCAGCTCCCTGGATGCAAACGGACCCAGAAGCACCGTGGCCCTTTGGGTTGAGGGAAGATCATCACCTTGTCAATAGGGTTGTTCAGCCACGATCTTTAACAGTTTCTCAGTAAGATAATGATGACCCTGGCCCGCAGGAATTCTGACCATGGCCAACATGCAAATGGACTTCGAATGGACTGCCAAGTGGTCCAGTGGCCGTTGCTCTTGTCAGTCGGCCTAGGTTCGAGAAGATGCAGAGCCTTCGCATCGAGCTGCTTTACGCTCTACAGCGGCGCGGGAGCAAGGCCATCACTTGGTCCAGTAGAGTGAAGATTTGGATTGGTTCTCGAAGTTGGTGTTTCCCCTTTGCACCATGTAGAGGATAATATCGATGAGGTCGGAATGATGCAGTTCGATTTTCGAGATCAATGTCTATTCACTTTGGTGGCCAAGGCGCAGGCTGCTTTCTGAATCCTTTGACCGACCCCCAACAGACAAGTGTGCACCAGCTGCAGAACGGAATTGGGAACAGCTTTCGCATTGGGCGAGGCGCTAGTTCGCAAGAGCGATGAATCCACTCGGCTGTGGCTGAAAAAGTGGGATTCAACCAAAATGGCCCCCTGGGTAAATGGAAACAAAGACTTCAAAACCTGCGTAGCCCTGAGGTTTTAATTTTTAGCCACACTTGGCAATCGGAGGCAAGAGCTTGTTGCCCCAGAATAAAGCCGCTAACTCGTGTTTCGGCTGGCCGCAAAACTGGTGATGCACCTGCCAAGGTGTGCATACCGCATAAGAGAATCCGTTGCTTTATGTGAAGGTGTTGCTGCCTCTTGTTGCACATGATGCTTTTGATCAAAATATATGTTCCTGCTGGCGTCCAGGCATGTGTGTCAGAGTTGATTTGGGTTTTCGACCTAAAACACATTGGCCAGCTCAAATCCCGACTAAGGCCGCCCTTAACAGGGCTTCTTAAACGATCCATCTGCGCCGGTGAACAATTCGCTTTCACCGAGATACAGAGGATTTGCTAAAGCAGGTGGTTCTTGTAATTAAGGCCTGCCTTCTTTTGCAAAGGTAAATACACATGTATTTTTCAGGACCCAACTCAGGATGTCTCAAGAGAGTCTATTGCTCTCTGCCTGTCCCACGGTCGCATGAAAAGGGCCGAGCGAGCGATGGGACCCTTTTCAGCGCAAGCCGCGAGGTCCAGCTGCAGGAGCTCGGCCAGGAGCCGCGGGTGCAGCGGGTGAAGCAAAGTTTACACCAGGCGAGGCCAATGAGACGCGTGCGTCTGGGGACGCGGTGTGCGATCGGGAAATCGGGATCGGGAATGAGAAATGGAATGAACCGGTTTATAGGAAACTACCGATTGGATGTTTTATTTTCTTGGGGTCGTTCCATTTCTCATTTTGTGCTGAACACCAGCAAGAAAGGCACGGAATTTGGGGCTTGAGTGACATTTTGTTCTCGCTTTGGTACAGTAGCTGCTGGGTTGTTCATTCCGCAGAGCTCGGGGGTCGGCTGGATGGTTGGAGTCGAAGCTCGAGTTTGTTTGCCAAGTTCCAGCTTTGAGTGGAAGTCTTATGTTTTCTTTCAAAGTCGTGTCTGTGGCTTCGGGAGTCCGGCTGTGCTGTGTCGAACGCAGCCAGCGTGGCTGGAGCTTCGAGAGCGCTCGTGTCCAGGCCAAGAAGTTGATTGAGTTCATTCGGATGTTTCCAACCAACTTCAAGGCCGGCGGTAGTTGGTTGCGGCCTCTCACGGCGCCATGCCAAAAGAAGCTACTTAGTTTCTTGCCGCTAGCAAGGTTGGAGGGGCAACTCGTCACGTTGGGTGCACGGACTGAACCATCGTACACACGTGCAGAGATATGAGTCATGGTTCACCACGCACCCACTCTGTTCTTCTGTGGGCGGATGGGCACCTGAAATTGTTGTCAGCTTTGCGATCTGCGTGCCCCTTTTACGTTGAGACAGGAAGTCGCCATGCCGAGCAGGTCTCGAGAGAATTGCCGAGGGATGCAGTTCAGAGGGACCTGCTGGATATTTTCCTGGCGATTGACCGGGTTCCTTGAAGAACATTCCAACCATTTTGAACATCGCTTCCACAGCTGCTTCAGAACAAGGCGACTGGATGCTTCCTTTCAAGAACCCTGTTGACGAGCATGGTAGGCACGCCTTTCAATCGCAACGCTGCGCTGCAAAGGTGACCTCCGATGATTCACAGATGGTCATCGAGGTCACTTCTACCAGTGTTTCGGACCTGACCTCAGCCCAGTTTGCATGTTTAAGAAGTCAATCCAGACCGCAGCACAAGTGTTTGCGCTATGGCTTTCGGCTGGATGAGCTCGTTGCAGCGGGGTCTCTTGCTGAGGACCAGTCCATGATTGACCGGGCACTGCAGAGGCTAAATCAGGACTCTAGTGGCTCGGCAGCAGTCCAGCAGCCCTCGGCTCCCGCAACAGATGACATGGCATTGCTTGTTCACATACTAGTCAGCAGGCGGTCAGTGGGCCAAGCCCCGCTGTTACACCGAATGGAACACAGATGTCATTGCGCCGATAACTCGTGGTTTGTGATTTGTGCCTGTTTTTTCAGTGAAGTACTCTTGTCGGGGTGGTGTTAGAGGAGAACCAAAGGAGAATCACCCTTTCTTGGGCTTTCCTCAAAACTCAAAGAAGGAGACAAATCGATTTGCCAGCAGCTCAGAGACCAGCTCACCCCCAAAGCCCAACTTTGTCGATTTAGACGGGTTGGTCTCCTCATGGGCCCCGGTTGAATATGGACGGGTCCGTTTTTGAGGACACGCTTGTGACATGGTGGAGGGGCTTCCACATGGTTCCCCATACAAATCAAGCTCCTTGCCGATGGCTCAACCGAGCCTTAGGTGACCGCAGAGGCGGCAACCAGCGACGGGATGGTCGAGGTGAGCCGCGATTTCGAGTGGGAGAGACGTCAAAGGACCGCTTTCCTTGGGACTGGGCATGGGCATCAATCCCCGGACAGAGGTACAAGAGTGTCACAAAGGGAACCATGGCCCATGGCCCACATAAGAAGTTTGACCATGGACATAGGTCACCACTCGGGCACCGCAAAGGCTTCGTGTTGTGTTGATTGTCCACTTGCAGGGTATCCACGTCCACCACCAGGTGATTGCAAAAGCAAAGAAGCGGCTTGATGCTAGGGAGACCTCAAACAGTCGTGCCAGGAGAAGCAGATAGGTCAAAGAGCCTCAAAGTTTTGTTGGTTTGTTTTTTTCTCGAGAAACATCAGGCAAAGGTTGCTTTTTCAGGAGCAATGATCATGACCCCAAACAACGAGGTTTCACCAACGAGCCTTTAGTTCTCGCTTGCATCTCCATGGCAGTCACGCTCGCTCGTGCAAGGCCAACCCCCTGCCAGGGATAGAGGAGGCGCAGGCCTGGCTTGAGCCGCTTGGGGATGAGACCTTTGCCATCCTTTCCCGCTTTGTCAAGGTGACATCTTCCTCCCCTGGGACAAGGGGGGTGGGTAATGGACAGGGAAGAGACCCAGGGAATTCTTTGCACTCCAGCTTCTCGTGAATGGCGCCCGCATTCGGATCTTCCGCGGGCAGGTCGAAGAGATCGCAGCAGGAGTCGCAGGAGGGAGGCGGCACCGGCGCCGAGCTACATGCCTCCGGGGTCGGGGGGCTTGGATTGGATGGGCTGGATGGTATTGGAGAACTTTGGGTGCTTGGAACAGCTTGTTGGCAGAAGTGTTCTTAGAGTTGGACTCTTCTTTTCGGCGGCCACAGTTTTGGCGGTGGAAACAGGGCCACAGGGACGCAAAATCCGTACCTAGGTATGCGCCGCCGCCCGGCTATGCGCCACCGCCGGGGTATCCGTATGGCCATGCGCCCAGAGCGACAGCGAATCACGCCTTTGGCTGGAACACATGGGTGCGGCTCAAAATAAAAGAACTAGGGTTACGCAGAATTTAGTCTTTGTTTTCATTTGCCAAGGTGCCAGTTTGGGAATCCCATTTTTTGAGCCACAGCCAAATGGAGGTTGATCAATACTCCTGGCCCCCAGTTTGGCGTGTTTGCTGCGCCGCAGTGTGTAGATAGCCCTGAAGCTTTCCCTCACATGGGACCTTGACCCACTGCCACATGAGGCTACCCGCCGCCTGGCTATGGACAGCCTGCTCCGCAAGGCGGGATCAAAAGGGTGGAAGGTTTGGAGCGGGGCAGTCCTAACCACAGACAGGTGCAGATACGCGTGCCGTGGTTTCTAATGGTAGACCCTGCAAAGAACGAGCGTGGACTATGACTCCTCGCGGGGATTATCCAAGTTTGTGCGCGTGCCTGGCTGTGGGAGGCTATCCGGCCTACGACTACTCGCAGTTTGCACCCCCGCCGCAGCAGGCACTTTGGGAAACCTCGAGTTGCGGCATGGCTGTTAAGACAGCCCAGACTGTGACGAGGGACAAACCTCGCAGACTGTGCGATTGAGTATACCACACTGTTTGTGCGTGGCCATCCTTTTTCGTGCTTCAATTGCAGTCATGGAGCAGATAATCCTCGGCCGGACAGTAGGTTTCCTTGCAGGTTCCGCCCCCAGCGAGCACATATCCACCAGCTGCCGGATATCCACCGCCCGGGTATCCACCACCAGCAGGCAGTTGCTGGTTGCGCATTCCCGCAGCTGTTGTTTTGCCTTCTTGCCATGGCAGTCTGAATATATAAAACATCCTGGCCTCGTCTTGCGTTGTGTGAGGGATCGATCACTTTCGTTGGACATTTCAGCTCGAGCTGTGGCACATTGTCTGGAGTTTTCGCATGGAGACAACAATCATGAACCTTGTAAAAAGTATCTCAGAATAGCTACCATCAACAGCTTCTGCACACACAATGGATGCAGGGACATTTGCGTTCGAATTGTGGCAGTTGCGCAGTACCAATTCCCTTCCGAGCAGTACAAGTTTTAGATTCGTTGACTCTGTCTGGAGATTTTCACCAGACCAGCTGTCTTGCGTGCACAGGTTATCCTGGCTATCCACCAGCTGGCTATCCGCCACAACCAGTGAGTGGGTACATGGCTTTGCCTGGCCCTTGAAAGTGAATACTAAACTGGAGCTCACCCAAATCTGCACAAATGGCTTTGGCCAAAGAACAGTACTTAAGCTGTTCTTGGACGCTGAATTTGAGGTCTAGTTACCAAGACTCCCCTAGTCATGTTGCAGCAGCACGTGAGTAGGTCAGGGGCAGTCTCGAGCAGGCTCACAGTGGGTTCGGCCTGAACTTATCCGTTTGAAGCTTAACTTCGGAAAGTCTGACCGAGACTGACCATAGCTCTTGATTGCAACAGGCTCCAGATACATGCACATGGACCGCGGAATCCTGGAAGTATCGGAAGGTGCTGGGCTGGAAGGCTGGAAGTACCCCAGCACTCGGCGAGAGAAATCTGGAAGCCTGAATGTTCCGCACCGGCAAAAGGGCGCGTGCTGTGGCAATTGACAAGTCGGAAAGGTCCTTGACCCAGATTCTGCTAGAATCTAGGACAACTGCTTTGATCTCCAACGACTCTGACATGGGGGCGGGCCAAATCTCCCACAACCAGCGGGCGCACCAATATTTTTTTCCAATGTGCTCTTGGGGAAAGCAGGAATATTGTGCGTGGCTGACATGGGGATTTATTATCACATCAACATCCAACTGGAGCAACCAACAGCCATTTGAGCGATATTTGTGAACCAGGGGTAATGGCAGAGGGATGTTTCGTGCAGCAATCAATGGGAGAAACCGGCGATTCTGTTGATTTTTTTGCCGAGCGGGCAATAGCTTGGGCTCCTCAAGGAGGTGAAGATGAGGGGATCACACTGTGCTCCCTGAGTGGGCTGAAGCATGAGGAGACGCTTCTGCCTGAAGCGGCGTGAGTTGGGTCCAATTTGCGCTTTTTTCAGATGACTTGTTTGACCAGAGTGGTGATATCAGAAAGCCACACACTCTGATTTTCCTAGGGAAGCCTTGATAAACGCCAGCAATGCCAGCTCTTTGGATCCCAATGGCTGGCGTTGCGCACAGTACTTAGTCCCTGTTGCAACTCTCCTCATGTTTTGGGCGACGAAGTACCCTGCCTGCCATGGCTATCGAAACAGACGTGTTTCTTCTTCGGATGGGCTGAGGGTTGGTTTCTGGTTGTCATGTGTTGGGTGTCTTTGTTTAGCATCCGGCATTTGTGTTGGCCAAGGGAGCCAACCTCAAGATTTGCTCCACGGCTTTCGTTCTCATGTCCATTCCATGTCATGGCAGGAAGGGTTCCCTTCAGTAAATGATTCTTGTTGCCGGTCTCCCGCAAAATCAACGAGGCAAACTATGATTTCTCTGAACCTTTGGTCAGGGTCTCTTCTCTGGAAGCCTTCAATCGGACACACACTAGCTTATTTGCAGGAGACTGGCAACATCTGGGCCTTGTGTTCCACGGGATCAATTCGATGCAAGCAACGGGAGATGGAATTCCGGGACCTGACCTGAATCCGGGAATGTAGAGTCTAGAGACAGGTCTCAGAGTGGCTCGCTGTCGGAATTGAATCGTCCCGTGGGGCATCCCTGGAAGTTAGCCCTCTGTTCATGGGGCATTGGGATTGGGGCGCGCGCGGTGCCCCAATCTGATCGCCTAGAGCTCAACGAACGAAGCAAGCGCGGTTGGTTGGAGCAGATTCTAGCCGAAGATACGTCTGCCAACACATGTTTCTTCTGAGCCGCCCTACAAAGAAAACACATGGCACAGTTTTGACGCATGTGTGTCGAATTGGGGACCCCACTGGTTGATTTCTGTATGATGTTCAGCTCCCACCCGAGAAGTGGGGCTGATTTTGCACCCATATCTACGGGAGGCTCACGAGAAACGCTTGTTCCGAAAAGGTCGACTAGTGAGGGCGGGTTCCAGAGAAGCTTTCTGTGTCTAGCTACGACTCAGTTGCCGCCTACTACTTTTTGTCATCAACACCTGGAATTAGGGGAGATTCTTTTGTCGGGGTTGGTTGAAGGTCCCCCGGCATCTGGAGACAAACTCACATTAGTGTTGTTTCACCGCGAGATCATGAGTTGTCACTGAAATCGTGAACTGTATCCCCAAAGCACCCCTCCTATTAATAAACAGGCGTTGATAAATCCTGGCTCAACATGGCTGGGACATCTTTGCACCATAATGGAAAGGCCCTGCCCAGCACCGCGCCACAGCGGGCCGCCAAGCTGCCTGCGGTGAGGCGCCTTGTCCTGAAATCGAAGTCCTGCAGCTTTTCAACCATCGTTCTTTTCAAAAGCCGGCTGTTTCCCCTGCGTTTTGTACCCCTAGAACTGTAGTCTTTTGCGAGTGAAGCCCCTTTTGGTTTGAAAAGGACACCAGACGGAACACGTCCACTTGAACATCACGGCTGAGGGAAGCTTACATGGGCAACCATAAGATGATGTTGAAATCGCCCAAAAAGCCCTGATTGACACCATTTGATGTTGTGGGTCGGCCAAAACTCCTGTCCCATGATTAGAGGGTAACTTGGTTGACGGGAGACCATGGCCTAACTGAAGTGAAGGGGCAGGAACCATGAAATCCTTGTAAAGGAGCCCTCTTTGGAGACAACAGGGAGCAGCCATGACTTGCAGTTGCTGCAAATCAACATATCAAACATTGGGAGGGGACAATTCGGATGATTGGCTGGATCCCGTGGTGCATGATGTTCTTTGCGTGCCTCGAGATAGGCTTAAACACCACATGTGTCAACTGCAAGGCTGGCTTCTGAACTTGCCCAGTGGATGTGTGAAATGTGCGCCGCGCCTCGCCGTGCATGGCTTTGATCTCAGGTGCTTCATTGCATGAGCCGTTAACAGCCGCAATATGGCTTTTCTTCCCAAAGACGACCAGACTTCCACCCCCGCGGGGTGTTTTTGCACAAGCTCAGCTCATTGCACGCAGAGTTTCCATTTTGCAAGTTGCTTGTCTCAAGTGCCGAAGGGCGCAAATTCTGCATCAGGTGATTGTCGTGGGTCAAAGATCTCTTTGACCCACCGTTTACCCTTTGCGCCATGTCTTACAAGGGTCATAAAAAATGGCCTGGTATGGTCACGGCCTCAGTCACAGGACTTGAGTCCTTGTGCCAGTGCGGAGCTGTTCATCTTCCTTGGCAAGTGGCTGGTGGGAAAATATTTAAGCCCATGGTTGGATCACTACTGGGAGACAAAAATACTACTACTACTACTACTACTACTACTGCTACTACAGAATAATACTACTAATAATAATGAATAATAATAATAATAATAATAATAATAATAATAATAATAATAATAATAATAATAATAATAATAATAATAATAATAATAATAATAATAATAATAATAATAATAATAATCATAATAATAATAATAATCATAATAATAATAATAATAATAATAATAATAATAATAATAATAATAATAATAATAATAATAACAATAATAATAAAAATAATAATAATAAAACTAATGATGATCATAATGATAACAATAAGAAATAATAATAAATAAGAAATACTAATAATATTAGTAATAGTAATAACAATAATAATAATAGTAATAATAATAGTAATAATAATAATGATAATAATAATAATAATAATAATAATAATAATAATAATAATAATACTAATAATAACAATAATAATAATAATACTAATAATAGTAATAATAATAATAATAATAATAATAATAATAATAATAATAATAATAATAATAATACTAATTAAAGTAATACTAATAGTAATAGTAATAGTAATAATAATAATAGTAATATAATAATAATAATAATAATAATAATAATAATAATAATAAAACTAATGATGATCATAATGATAACAATAAGAAATAGTAATAAATAAGAAATACTAATAATAATAGTAATAGTAATAACAATAATAATAATAGTAATAATAATAGTAATAATAATAATGATAATAATAATAATAACAATAATAATAGTAATAATAATAGTAATAATAATGATAATAATACTAATAACAATAATAATAATAATAATAATAACAATAATAATAATAATAATAATAATAATAATAATAATAATAATAACAATAACAATAACAATAACAATAACAATAATAATAATAAATAATAATAATAATAGTAGTAA